ACCCCCTTCCATCGTTTTTGGTTTCCGGTAACTAGTGAAGTAGATGAAGGAGACCGGTAAGAAACAGAGAAACGTTGTGTGACGGGTCTTTTCTTCGGGCTGGGTAATCTGTAGCAGAGCGACGAGGATGCATTTGACGGTTACAATCGTGACGTGAAAAGCGGCGGTGGTGTGAAATAAATGTTTATTATTAAATTAACTAGATTTTGATTCGCGGCCAAACGCCGAATAAATAATTAGGTTGACTAATTGATTTTAACATATATTTTTTAATATTTAAACGTGTATGACAAATCATATGATTTTCAATATCAACAAACATACAAAAATGATATCTATTATACATAAATATAATAAAATTAAATACTTCTTATCAAGCATATGTTAATGCCATTAGTTTTGATATTTTTATATGTAAAAATGATCAAAACATATACAAATGTTACTTATTTCAATATCTTTAAGTGTAAATATCTCATTATATATTAATTAAGCTTTATGTTTTTTGTAAAAACGATCAAAACATTAAACCTTTACATTTTTGTTCGCTTAAATTTATTTTGTGTTTTGCTTATATTTTATTTATGTTTTGCATATGAAAAACAAATTATTCCAATTTTATTTCAATTAGAAAAAACTGCTAAAATGTAAGTAGAAAAAATACATGATTTATATTATTTGTCACTAAACAAAAATAAACTATGATTTGCTTATATGATTTATCATGATCAACTTATGTTTTGCTTACATTATATATATGGTATGATAAAAATTATCAAAATAAATTTACTACAAGTTGCATTTGTCACTAAACAAAAATAAACCATAATTTACTTATTTAATCGTCAACGACCTCATTTTTGGTGTGTGGTTTTCGGCTTTGTTTCTTTTATTTTATTCTCTACGAGAATTTTTGTTTTCGTTCTCACTCTATACGAAGAAAGAAAAATAAAGCTGATAAGGATGAAACAATAGGTTTTTGTTTTTTGAAACTTCGGATGAAACAATAGGCGAGAGAAGAGAAGATAGATGCTACTATGTTTCTAGGTCTAATGTATCGGTAGGAAAATGTACATCGATAACAAAAGTAATGAATAGTATCTAATTTAAGTGAATCTAGAAAATTAAAGCCGTTCATTGCTTTTAGTAAGTTCATATTTGTCCTTAAATGGTTTATTGATTTTAGTTTTTCGCCATAAATTTTGCATTCATTATCAAACTAACTTGATAAAGATTAGTAGGGGTGGAATTATTATCCTGGATCCGAGAACCGATCCGTTATCCGTTCGGAATCGCTCCGAAAATTAAGATATCCGGGGATTTCGGATCCGGATAAGGATAGTAAAATTTAGGATCCGTGAAAAGAGGATCCGGATCCGGATAACAAAATTTTAAGGTCCAGATATCCGAATCCGGACGTATTAAATATATTCAAAACATATATACTATATATCTATTAAGCTAATTTTATATAAATAAATATATATATATATATAAATTAATTTTAGTTTTTTTTATAATAAATTATATTTATAATGAAAAATATCATTTTAAAAATATATTTTTATTTATTTTAATTATTTTTAATATTAATTTCGGATCCGGA